TGAATAAAAGAAAACATTAATTTAAAGGGAGAGCTGCACCAAGGCAGCATATCTGTAAAAAAAATGACAAACCTCCTGCACCAATGGCTACAAACGCACGCCACGATCTTCACACATATTTTTTCCCTTTTCTCCGAGATTCCCTGTAATTTGTATCAGTCTGTCCCATAAAATGAATCTGAAATAAATCAAAGTTTGTGGTTTTGATGTAGAACCAACCAACCTGGAAGGATTCCCTGTCATCCATGATGTCTCTGGGATGATACACAGCATAGATGGTGAGGTTGAAGAAGGCGCAGGCTGAACCCAGATGGAGGTAGAAAGGAACAAGGCGACTCTGGATAAACCCAAACGTGTGTCGGTTCAGGTTGTGGTCCATTATAAAACCTGGGAACACATCACAGCGCTTTATAAGGAAACTAACTTTAGCCCCAGTCATTTAGCAACTTAATGCAAAAGCTACGGTCTATTTCCAGTGGTCAGACATTTACATTTAGTAGCATTATCCACAGAAAATGTTTTAAATGCCCTGGATCACTAATACTGTGGTACTAAATTAGCTAATCCATTGTGCCTTTATTAATTTTAGACCCATTTTATATTTGCTGGAAGCTATTTTATCATGTTGACACCTGAGGGGCTGCAGCAGCTGAACTATGTTCTTCTCACATACTTGTGGATCACACAGTGCTGACAGAGTCATGAGGTGGAAAGTCCCAAGACTTTTCCCTAAACTCTCTTTTGGCCCCAAAAATGAGAACCAGTGGCATTAAAACCTCAGCATTCCCAGCTAAGCTTTCACTTTATGAACTCCTGCTGAGGAACTAGCTAGCATCTTAACTCTAAACATTATCAGTTATATTATGATTGAATGTTTTCCACACAAATCTTAACTGAACCTCATTTACTTTCCAAACTTTAAATATCTTAAATGCTGGGAGTTTCTCAGCATCACAGTAAGAACTATTTTGACCCATCAATTTAAATCAAACAATATTCTACAAATCTTTTCTGAAAACTTCCTTACGGTGCATTAACATCGGATCTATAGGTCTGGTTCTATAATAAAATAAACATTTCAATATATGAAATAAAGAGGTTATTGCCTCAGCATCCAGGTAGAACTGCAACTAATGATTATTTTGCAAATCAATTAACCGGTAGGATATTTTTTCAATTAATTGATTAATAATCAGAAAGCAAAAGATTCCTTAAAGAGGATTTTTTATTAAATTTAGCCAGGTGAAACTAAAACTGTTCCACAGGATGAGTTCTGGATAGAACAGATTCACAGACGAAATTATATATTTTTTTATCTTAAATGCAAAATGTTTACATATATTTTACAATTTTGGTATAATTCCTGCTGTCAGTGGGTCGCTCTGCCAGCTACAGGCCTGTTTTAGAGCCTCTATACTCCACTTAATGATTAATTGATTACTGAATTAATTGAAGATTATTTCAGTAATCAATTAATCCGATTGATAGTTTCAGCACTACTTTCAGGAGTATAAATTAGCTCTAATGTAGCATCTTAAGGCAGATTGGAGCAATACAGGTCCCAACTCACACCTGCTCATGTTTATCTATTTATAGAAACGGCCAAAACACAGTCACATGGTGTTTCATCCACACACCTTTAAAATGGGGCTATAACATTTCTGAAACATATTTCAGAATTATTTTTCCACAAATACTTTTGTCGATGTGCACGCGTTCCATAAGCTGCTCTGTTATTCTTATTTTCTATTCAGTTTGGTGATTTTATTGGTAAATTTCAATGAACCAACGGCTAACTCCTAGGAGCCAAGGCTTTGTCTCATGCTGAAGGTCTCCAATAATGGAAATCAGCATATTTATCTGACTAGATTCACTTTTATGAGTGGAAAAAATGCATATGCATAATTTGGCCACTTTTGCCACTGTGCCAAAATCCCATTTCCTCCTAGCACTCTGCCCACTAAAACCTTTGTGGAACAAACATGCTTCAACTGATTCAGTCCAAATTAGCTTGACTTATAGTCAAGATGTGGATCTATAAAGTCTGAGGGTTTAACCAGAGTTTCTAATGGGCTTTCATGGTGTTTTTATTTTGGCTAGGATAAAATTTTTCATTTTTTCTTTATCTAATCACCTATAAATCAGACATGGTGACATTTAAAATAGTGGTTCCACCTGAAAAATATTCCTCAGTGCCTTCCTGTCACACAAATACAAACAATTTTATTTCCAATTTATAGTTTGGGAGCTTTAATTCACATATGTAGGAATTTGCTCCTAAGACCCTCTGGGCTTAAGGGGTCAACAAGCAATAGAAATAAATATATATACATATATAGACACTAGTCTTTAGAAAGTCAACTGAAGGTAATTTTGGGAACAAGTTAGAAGGTTTTGAAATGCATACAGGTTGTAAAACAATGGGGGAAAAAACTGCATATCAGAGGTTTTTCTGTGATCCTAAGAAGAAAGTTAAATCCACCCCCTGTGTGTTGAAGACCTACTTGAAATAAAAGTCACCCATATCTGCATCCCCCAGTAGGTGGAGAGGAGCAGCAGCTGCAGCAGCTTCACAGTGTAGGTTGGTTCCTGGTCAGTAGGCATCTTCTCCAGACCTTCTCTCCTCTCTGCTCTGTTTACAGAAACAAAAAACAGCCTCCAGATAAACAGATAACGCCTCCTCCCCCCCTTCAGATCCTTTAGTCTCCAGGGAACCGATACTGCATTCAAAAACTCATCGAAACCTTGACAGTATCCCTCTAACGTGAGAAATAAACCAGATTACAGATTATAATCTGCCCACCTTTAGGTGAGCAGGAAGAAATGCCAGGAATTCCTCCAGGCAGCTTATCTAGCTCCCTGAAGCTACTCAGGTATTTCTGTCCATACTGTTAGTGCATTACTCAGCAACAGGTTGGGAAACTTCTGCGGTTGTCAAGGTAACGGGCTAGCAGGAATGACCTCACCCAGTGCACGAGACCCAACAAGCTAGCCAGAAGGAAAAATACAAGTTTCAGTCATTTAAAGTCTGAATATATATTATTATGCATCTTTTTCTTTTAAAACAATTAAACTCAAACAGCTCTCGCTGTTTTAACGCATGGCGCGCGGTGACCGTGGAGCTAATGATAGTAAAGAAGCTAGCTGTCCAGTACAACAATAAACTCCGCTAAAGTTAAACTAATATTTAGCCAATTTATCTAACTTTGTCATATCGACTGGAAAAGTTAAAAGGTTAATAATAGTTAATTTCGCCTTTGTTAAAAGTTTAGCTCGGTTTACCTGAGTGACAGAAGGTAGCAGAGCTGAAGCAGTGACTGCGGTCTGATCCAAGCGGACAGAGCTGTTCCCTCTGGGCGGGCGGGGCTTCTGCTTCTTCTTCTACGGTTTAATGGCGGTTGGCAAACTGGTTAAAGGGCATTACCGCCACCAATTGATAAGGAGTTCAACAAGGAAACAAGACTCACCCCCAGAAAACAAAAATAAGGAATCATATTCTTTCCGATCTGTTGAATCCAACATAATAAATTCACATTTGTTCTGTTTCAGATTTTGTATTGTTGGTTTGCACTTCCAGGCCACCGTACATAATTTCTAATTAATCTTTAATTTATCGTCACTCTGTCAGTTTCTGATGGTCTTACTGGTTTTCCTATCAGGTTTTCAACCGTTTCCCAGTTTAAATCTCTCACTTTTCTGCAGCTTTCACCATTATTTTGATTTTTTTTCCCCTTGTGGTCTGAGCACTACATTTGATCACTTCTACCATGAAATCTTTCTTTTTTTTACAATCAATTAATCTTCGTCAATATTGGGTTGAACTCTGTTAGTTTGTGTTTTTCTGACTGTGATGGGATCCTTTCTGCAGCTGAGGGCGGAGTTTCTTCTTCTATGTTTTTATTGCCCGATGAAAACCGACTTAAGGTGCATTTCCCGCCACCTACCAGACCGGAGAGTGGCCATTAATGACGTCAGAGGAAAGTTAATACATCTAAACCAGGGGAAACCAATAAAAAACCAGCAGGGTCAGAATAAAGAAAATAATCAACCAGTAAAGGTCCGGAGGCATTTTAAATTATAATCTGTTACCTTAAACAGAATTTAACACTGAAATGAAATGAATTTCTTAATAAATCTATGTTATACATTGATTTTTTTTTAACTGAGAAAATATAAAAAGAAAAAAAATGAAATTTTAAAATCTAAAGTGTTTTTTGAAGTAGAGAACAATTTCCTGACTCACATATTTGTTATTTTAGTTTTGACCATTTTTTATTTTTCTTTTTTTCTGAGAGCAGTGAGCTTTAGGCTGCAACCACTAATCCATGACCTCTGGTCTATGCTATGCACGAACCTGCAAATTTATATCTATACAAACTCACATATAAATTAATATGTGTGCAAATGCACATGCATACATACACTTATATAGATACTTTAAATGCAATTAAATAATCCAGCGTTTAAAAAAAATCTAATTCATTATTTTTTAACAGAATTTAATTTACTTCCTAAAAGATTTATCATAGAATATCTTATTTTCTCTCTATGTAGTATTGACTTTAAGTGCTGATGTTCCTCTAAATGCTTATTATATTCTAATAATACTGTTTCCATCTGATTACAGGGATTATAATCCGTATTTCATGTTTCCCTATTCTGATAAGAGAACTATAAAGTCCATTATGACCAACCTCTTCTTTCCTTCTTCCATTCATACAACTATTACCCCCCACAGTCCGTTGAATTTCTTATAGATCTCTACCAACGTCATGATTATCCCAATGTTCCTTACAAAATCCTTACAGATTTTATTATGAATTATAGATTTACCCTCACTTTTACTTAAAGGAATACTTAAGTTAATAATATCTTAATTTTAAGGCCTGTTTAGCTAATATATCTACATCTTCATTTCCTTCTCTGCCTACATGGGCAGGAATCCAGACAAAATATTTCTTATTATCAAGCTGAACTAATAGGTGATATATATCTAATAATAAATATAATCTGCGAGACTTGTCAGATTTGATACTTAATAATGCAGCTTGACTATCTGATGAAACTATTTCCTTCCCTAACATTATCATCAAGCAACCATTCTAAAGCGACCATAATGGGAATTGATTCAGCTGTAAAATCTGTTAGGGCGGGGCTTCTTCTTCCTCTTCCAAAGGTTTTAGCAGTCATGTTATCATTATGCCCCCCCATCGCTGCACAGCCCCACCACTGCCTCTATGCTGCAAAGATCAGACATCATTTTCCAGTCAGAAAGTTTCACAAATGGATTTAGGTCTGGATTTTTCAAAGGGGCCACATGATATGATTCTGGTTTCATTTGATTCCTTTTTATTGTAGCCCTCTAATTGTCCTGCTTGAAGAAGAGTTTCATTTTTAACTCCAGTCTAAAGTCTAAAGCCCTCAACAGGTATCCTTCTAGAAACTATTTTCCCATCATCCCAAATCTTTTTAGGTTGCGCATCGAATTAAAATGATCCCCACAGCCTGATGCATCCATCAATACTTTTAACTTAGTTAATATTAGCAGTTAATATTGATATTTGTAATCTATACATTTTTGGGGGCTGTTTGGTGAGCAGTGGGTAGCACTGCTAGCTTGGGTTTGATTCCCGGCCTGGGGTCTTTCTGCATGGAGTTTGCATGTTCTCCCTGAGCATGCATGGGTTCTCTCCGGGTACTCCGGCTTCCTCCTACAGTCCAAAAACATGACTGTTGGGTTAATTGGCTTCTCTAAGTTCTCCTTAGGTGTAAATGGTTTTTATGTCCTGTTTGTCTCTGTGTTTTCCTGTGATGGACTGGCGACCTGTCCAGGTTGGACCCGCCTCTCGCCCACTGACAGCTGGAGATCGGCACCAGCACCCCTCACCCCCCCCAGCAGGGACAAGCGTGTTTTTTTCCTTTATGGATGTTTAGTTCAACCATAGGTTATTATTATTATTATTTTTATTTTATTTTTTACACCTGGGAGCAGCTAATTAGCATTTCTAAAGCTGAATTAATACATCAACTACTTCCACGAGTACCAGCTGAATTGTCAAGGAGGCGTCAGGGATGCAGAGCAGGAGAGACGAGAGAGGAACAAGAAATTTAAACCTTCTCTTCCACCAATCCTAATTAATGATATTTTTTTTTCTTTGAGTTTTTGCGGCTCTAGTGACTCGTTTTTTTCAACAGTAGGCTGACATGAAAGGGGTATGAGAGAGGGATTCAACCCAGGTCAGCCACGTCGAAGACAAAGGCCTCCGTCAGGGTTCATGCACGCTAACCGCTGCACCACCTGCACGCCCACAGTGATGAATGATGACGGCGGCTAGCTAGCTCAAGTGGTAAGTCACCTGTCCTGAAAACAGGAAGGCTGGGTCCTGTTGGCAGGACGGGTCCTTAGGCAAGACCCTTCAGGCCTGCTTTGGGGAGTGGTTAGGTCATAGAGTGGGTCTATGTACAAAAAAATTAATTTAAAGTCAGATCGCCATACACTTAAAAAAAAACACACCAAAAAGTAAGCAATTAAATTGTTTTTTTTACCAGACTAATGGGATACACGCCCGTTTAGGTAGTTTGAAGTCTATGTTTTGTACAAAACTGAAGGGATAAACTAAAGAGATAAACGGGTATTGACTATGCGTATGCTGGTCTGACTGGGTATGCTCATCTGACAGAACAGCAGCTTCCTCCCACAGCCCAAAAACCAGCATGATGGGCTGGAAAGCTGTCCAGGCCGTACGCTACCTCTCTCCAAAGAGCCGC